GGGGGGGCGGGCAGGTTTTCTCCAGGGGCTCCACTCTTGCCCTCTCTGTGCTTCATTGCAGTGACAAGTTCACGCGGTTCTGCCAGTGGAAGAACGTGGAGCTGAACATCCATGTGAGCAGGGACCCCTGCGCCTCGGGGCACCCCAGGCACCTCTGGGCATTGCCAGGGAGGGGGACATGGGCACAGTGACAAGGCTGCTGCCCTGGGGGTCACGAGGGCTGGCATGGGTACCCTCAGACGAGCACCCCATAGGGGCACCCTCACACCCCCAGGCTTTCACTCACTCCCACCTGCCCGTGCTGACGGGGACGTGTGGCGCAGCCTCTGTGTTCCTCACCTGGGGAAACTGAGGCAGGGTGTGGGGGCCCCACCACCACCACAGACACACGCAGCTCTTGGTGCAGGTGCTGGGGGACCCCGGTGTCCAGGCTCACCCCCGCCTCCTTCTTGCCCCCTCCAGCTCACCATGAACGACTTCAGCGTTCACCGAATCATCGGCCGCGGCGGTTTCGGGGAGGTCTACGGCTGCCGGAAAGCGGACACGGGCAAAATGTAACGGGGGATGCTCTGTCGCGGGGGGCCGGAGGGATCCGCCTGCAGTGGGCGGGGGGGGCACTGGGGCTGTGGTGGTGGTCCCGAGGGCATCTGCGGAGGTGTTGCCATGACGACAGATGTTAGGGGGTTGCGGAAGTATTGCCATGGCTACGGGTCTCTGGGGGATACAGGGACGTCATGGCCGTGGGTGGTAGCTGGATGCGGTGATGTGGCCGTGGGTGCTGGCAGTGGAGGGACGCGATGGCGGGGCTGTGGGCCGGGCGGGGACGTGGCACCGTGCCCGGGGGGCAGCAGCGGGACCCTGCAGGCACTCTTTGCCCTCAGGTATGCCATGAAGTGTTTGGACAAGAAACGTATCAAGATGAAGCAGGGTGAGACCCTGGCCCTCAACGAGCGCATCATGCTGTCCCTCGTCAGCACCGGGGTGAGGGGACGCAGGCACCGGGCAGGGCTGGCACCCCGGTTGCAGGCTGTGGCACTGGCGAGGGGAGAGGGACGGTGAGGGAGGGTGTTCCCGGAGCGCCGCCGGCACTGCGTGACCCTGTCTCTCCTGCCAGGACTGCCCGTTCATCGTGTGCATGTCGTACGCCTTCCACACGCCCGACAAGCTCAGCTTCATCCTCGACCTCATGAACGGTGAGAGACCCCCGGCCCCGAGGGACCCCGGGGCTGATCCTTGGCCCCGGGGCCACGGCTGGCCTGAGCCACGGGCACCAAGCCCCCCTGCCCGCGCCGTCCCCAGGGTGCAGAGAGGGTGGTACCAGTGTGACAACTGGTGTCCCTGTCACCGCAGGGGGAGACCTGCATTATCACCTGTCCCAGCACGGCGTCTTCTCCGAGGTGGAGATGCGGTTCTACGCGGCGGAGATCATCCTGGGCCTGGAGCACATGCACAGCCGCTTCGTGGTGTACCGCGACCTCAAGGTGACCGACCCCACAGACACCTCGGGCACCCGCGCCCCCGCGGGCACCCTGCAGGTGTTTAGAAGCCCCACTGGCATCCCCAGGCCCTGTAGACACCACCCCCCCAGGACCCCGTGGGCACCCACAGGCGTTAGGGGCACCCACAGACACTGCAGGAACCCTTTTGGGACCCCACGGGCGTCCTGAGACCTCGGAGGGCACTTGCAGACTCCAGCGGCTCTTCCCGGTCCCACGGACACCCCCAAATCCCACAGAGCACCCCAGCCTGACCCGTGTGGGCACCCCCAGCATCACGGGCAGCGCTTGGGCTCAGGGCTGGCACGGTGTCTTGGCAGCCGGCAAACATCCTCCTGGACGAGTTTGGGCACGTCCGCATCTCAGACCTGGGCCTGGCCTGCGACTTCTCCAAGAAGAAGCCCCATGCCAGCG